CACACACACACACACACAAATAAACTTTAAAAAATAAAATAAAATGCATTGGAGGCTGGGTGCGGTGCCACATGCCTGCAATCCCAGCACTCAGGAGGGATTGCATGTTGCATGTTGCATGTTGGAGATGGGCCTGGGCTGCAAAGTGAGCTCAGGATCAGCCTGAGCTGCATAACAAGACCCTGTCTCAAAGAAAAAAACAAACAAACAAAATGAATTGGGTGTGCCAGTGCTAGGGTGCTTGGGCCTTTTTCATTTGCAACTCTGAAATCAAGATTCCTTCTCTGCTTCCATCACCTAAAATAGTGGTGCTCCTTACACTTGATGGTGCAGTACATGAAAGGTGGTTGACAGCCGTGTCTTAAGTGGTACCTGGAGGAGAGCCGAAAGCACTCAGGGTCTGTAGAGCCTGAAGGCGTAGCTCGTAGTTGGAGCTCTGCTGGTGACGAGCCCCCTCTGCTGTCCCTGGACTCTGAGCTGGACCTGAGAGCCGTTTGTGTGAAGCTGATCTGCAGTGTGTGTATGTGTGTGCGTGTGTGCGTGTGCCAGGCCAGGGTCACACAGCAGAGTGCACGGCCCAGCTGCCTGCAGCTGGAAGGATGGGGCAGTGTGCTGGGCAGTGGATCCCTCCTTCACCCCGCTTCCTCTCCAGGGCTGTGTGAGGACTGCATGGGTTGTTGCATGGAAAACACCTGGCACACATTCCCCTCGGTAGCAGCTGATCCTACTCCCATCTCCTTGGCAACTGGTCCGTCTTGCTTTCCCATGTCTTACAGTCTAACAAAGTTCCTGTTGTGCAGCACCCGCATCACATGCACCCGTTGACGCCCCTCATCACCTACAGCAACGACCACTTCTCCCCGGGCTCCCCTCCCACACACCTCTCCCAGGAGATTGATCCAAAGACAGGTGAGTCACCCATTGCACAGGCGCTTGCAGGCTGGACAGGCTTTTGGCGGGGGGCAGCAGGCCTTGAAGGAGCAGACCGAGTTCAAATCACACCTCCAGCCCTCCAGAGTCTCATGACCTTGGCCTTGCGCCTTCCCCACCTTGAGGATAGTGTGAGGATAAAACGAGGTGAAACAAGACAAACTGGGGGTGGGCAGGGTGGGGGGGGGAGCTCTGTCAAAGTCTAGCCCAGCTTCCACCTGTGTCTTTCTAAGCCAGAACCCATCCCCTAGGCTAAATATTTTCAAACAGTCACTGGTCCAGCCAAATTTTTCAGGGTAGTTGTAAAGCAGGAAAGCGAAGCTAGGGTGTGTGCTTGTTTTTTGTACTGGGGATCAAACTTAGGCCCTTCGTCCTGAGCTATATCCCTCACCATTTTTTTTTTTTTTTTTTGGTGGAACTAGGGATCTCACCCATTTTTTGACTTAGAGACAATGTCTCACTAAGTTGCCTAGGCTGGACTCACACTTGCCGTCCACTTGCCCTATTCTCTTGAGAATGCCAGAATTACAGAGTTGTGCCCCTAGGCCAGGCTAGCTTTTTAAAAATATTTTAGGCTGGCCAAATAGCTCAGCGGATTAAAGCGCCTGCAAGCAGGTGTAGGGGCCTGGGGTTTGATCCTGTCATGCCATGCTGGCCCCGCCCCCGGGGTGCCCTGACACTTGGGCGTGGTAGTACGTGCCTGTAATCTCAGCTCCTGGGAGGCTGGAAACAGGCTGATCCCTGTGAGTCTGATCTAGTAGTGAGACCCTGAACACCTTGTAGACCCTTCCCTAAAATACAGGAAAAAAAAAATTTAATGGCCCATCAGACCTGTCCAACCCAGGGAGCTAAGGGCGTCACAATACCCCCACAGAACTGCTGTGGCCCAATGTTTTGGAGCCCCTCTCTGGAGAAAGAATACTCACTACACCGTTCAGGTAATAAACAGGATAACTGCAAGAGAAATCCAGAGCTTGGGGCCTGAGTACGTACCTCCATGGTACAGTGTGTACAGAAACCATCAACAGGGCTGAAAAACAAAACAAGAAGAAACCCAGGGGGCTGGTGAGATGGCTCAGTGGTCTAAAGCGCCGACTTCGAACAAGCTTAGCTAAAGCACAGGGACCGCAGTTCAATCCCCCAGCACCACATGCCAGCCAGCCCCGCCCCCTGGTGGGCTGAGCTGGCCACACACACACACACACAAATAAAT